GATATATATATATATATATATAGTGCCTGCAGTAAATATACATCTTTAGTGCACGTTATTTATAAACACAATATAATTCTAGCACACACTGATATAAATGTATCACACATAAATTTAATGTGATTCCTGGGCTATCCTAGTATCTTAAGTTTTTTTGTTGTTTTTTTTTTTGTTCTACTTCCCACTTTAGTAGGTCTCTTAAATGTCTTGTTAATTTGCTGAAATATTTTCTTAAAGTGGAAATTATTTTAATACAGCAATAAATCCATCAGCAAGGGTACACACTTGTGTGCATATGTACTACTTAATACGATTATATATACGGTATTGTGCTTGTATAATCTAAAGTTTTATTGCAGAGGAATTTATAACATTGCTAATAAAATGTGTGACTGCCAGGTGTCTGGTGAAGTGAATGGGCTGTGTTATCGGCACATTGATGATAGATCAATGGTACAGGGGGTCTATTAAACTTAACTGTGAGACCAGGAAGGTTTAACTTTTGGGATGACACGAGGAAGTTTTCTGTGTGAATCTGATCTCCTCTGGCCATAGCCATGAAACCACAGCTAATATGTGTTTTTTCAAATGCCCAATTGTCCCACGCAGCTCAGTGCCTGCAAGGACATTTTTTGTTCCCTTTAGAATTTAATCTGCTGGGATCCTGGTTTAAAGAATCTGGACTCCAGCTTGTGCACATGCATGTCAAATAATAGGGATGTGATTTTAGCAGACAAGGCAGGTTGATGCATTAGGGTTAGGTGTTTCCTCCCTGCTAAAACTGCATCGGAGCCTGGGACTGGATTTAGCTGCAGTGCTGTCTCCATGCAGAGATATTACAGGGAAATGTACGTGTGAAATGTGTCCCTGAGCTCAGACTGGGTGTCACATTGCACATGGGAAATAAATGACTCCAAGGCAGTGTACCCATGCTTGCCTGCTCTAATAGATTCCTTCCTATTTCTTTTATTCTGTGTGTCTTTCCCATTCAGCCAGGTCTTCCTGCAGGCTGTGTTTTAGGGCAGGGCCCTGCTAAGGAGGTAATTTCATTTTATGGAGGACTCTAGTACATGCTATAATTCCTCCTCCTCCCCCCCTGTCCGGTTGTAAACAAGAATGACTCTAACTTACTCGGGTCCAATTCAGACTTGTCTTCTTTGTGTTTGCTAGAAAGGATGGCCTCAGATTCCGGGGAAGGAATGGTGTGTAGAGGTGGCCTGTCTCTGAGGTCGCCGGGGGATCCATACATGTAATCCGGATAGCTGCGGCCATCGCCGGGGCCACACTCCCTTCTGCTGGAAAAGGCGTCAGGCTTGAGCCCGTAGTGCCTGCTGCTTGCTGCAAACCCTGGGAATGACACCGTCCCTGAGATGGGCTCCAGCCAAGTGCGCATATACCTTGCATCTGTACCCAAGTGTGGCTGGTGGTGGCTGTAAGGATGATAGACCACTGAAGACTGAGAGTGCACAGGACCCCATGAGGTGGTAAAAACTGCAGGTTTCGGGGCAAAACTGCAAGAAGGAAAATCTCCACAGTCCGGTACTAATCCTGTCGGTCTTGCAGCTGCTGGGTGAGCCCCAGTGGTAGGGAACCTAGAAGCCAAGAGGTCTTCACTCTCATGGCTGATCAGAGAGTCCACATAATAGTTGCTGATGGGACCAGACGCAGACATTGTTTCCCCTTCTTTTACATTCATAAGATTATTGTATGAACTGTATGTGTACTTTTTATCTGCTCATAGAACAATCAGGGCAGGTAATTATTTTTTCAGCCTCTCATGCTTGTCATTGGCTCTCGCCTCCCACGTGATTGTATTTACAAAAAAAAAAAAAATACAGCGTAGATCAATGCACAGGTCCCATTGCCTCTATCCTCAATACAGAACGGTCTGGTTTTCATAAAAGCGATGAAATAATGTGAGAATCAAAGGAGTGGACCTGAATCAATGCGCAGGTCCCATTGCCTCTATCCTCAATACAGAACGGTCTGGTTTTCATAAAAGCGATGAAATAATGTGAGAATCAAAGGAGTGGACCTGCTGGAGCTCATTAAGGACTGATGCATGTCTCCACTTTTAGAAGGATTGCAAAGAAACCTGGGTTAAAACATGTAAGTGGAAGGAACGTGAGAATGACGGAAGGGGACTATTTCTTGACGCAATCTATCTCTGTCTCTTCTCTGTAATGCTGCCAGAATACTAGCATGGATATATAGTACAGTCCAAGACATAGCTTTTCATTAGAAATACATTATGATTTCTGGATTTCGTTTATAATCACTTAGGAAGATTCTGCTTCCTGCTATTTATACTGAAACCTGCTATGAAATAAACTCAGTTCACAGTGTATCCCTTTCACTTTTTTTTTTTTTTCCCAATGCTGTCTTATTCTTTTAACAGGCTGTCTTCTGTGCTGTGGTGTCTTATGAAATGCAATCAGTTGGTATAATTCTTCACAAACCAGCAGGCATTGAAAATCAAGCAAGTGGAAGCCTCATGAGTTGAAGAAGGGGGAAAAGGCAACTCACACAGACACAGTTAAACAGAATAAAACTGTTAAGCTACTCCCATCTTTCAGTGGATGTCTCTATTCGTCTGGTGAGCCTTGGATGTTTTTATGTCCTTCAATAAAAAATTTACGAGGCTCATTCGATTGTTCATAAACGTGTCGTTCATTAAAAAAACTGTAAGGTTAGATTTCAACTGTAAAAAAAAAACCACACAACTTACAGCAAGTTTCCCCATTCATTTTCTGGTGTGAAGAAGACAAAGTGCACAAATTTTCATAAGAATTATGTCCTGGAACTACTTTCAGTGCCACCGGTCCTGTCAATAAATAGCCCTTTCATTGTGTGTAGGAATTCCTTTACACTCAGCTGAGGAACCCCGGCAAGGGCAGCAAATACACACAAGTGGGCAGCTATCGTGGATTGAGTGCTTTTCTTTATATAAGAAATACCTTATGTTATTTCTCCAAATTATGGACATAAGGGGTCCATTTATGGCTGATAAATCTCATTTTTACTGTTGCACTGGAAATTCAGAGCTGCAGTAAATAATGACGGATTCTATATCATGCTCTAATAGAGATCCGTTATCGAGGAGTGCTATATGCTATGCCCTGTTTTATCCAGCTATAGCTGTATGATACATATTTTCAGCACACAGGGGCAAGTAGGCATAGATAATGGTGAAGATTCTGAAATCTGGAAGATTTACGTTGCCACAGAGGAAGCCCCCCAAACGCATGCCACAAAGAAAAATAAAATCACCTTTAAGAGCAGATAAAACAATTGTACAGCCATAATCAAATGTATATTTAATGCGTGCCCTGTTACTACAAAACCATCAAAATCTATACAGATAGCACATACAGGCAAGCAGCTGATTCGCTACAACAAATGCTGTTATTAATTCATACGATTCCCACTGTGTAACACCAAAAATAAGCAGCATCTTTCCCTGCGCTCTGTCAGTGCAAGGATTATTGGAGCTTCGTTAAGTTGCAAATGAAAGAGCAATATGAAGTAAGGAATATATTTCCACTCATTACACAGCCTCGTAACTGCTCACTACCCTCTATTTTAATGTGAGCATTTACATCACGAATTAAAATAATCTCAGTTAATTTTTTTTCAAACTAACAGATACGTCTTTCCATTTCTGGACTTGGTATTACACATAATCCGTGCACATTTTTTTCCCTATTATTTGTGCATATTACAGAATGCCCAGCACCTCTGTACACATGCAGGCACGACTGAAAGCACTACATTAGTATCACACACTATGTAGTACAAGTGAAAGCATGCGACCTATTAGTACACTTAGAGGCAAAATGCATTTTAAAACTCTGACAATATATTCAAATGAGCACACTGCATATTGTATGCCCCCAAACCAACACAGAATGAAGAACAATCATTTCCATCATTCCAATGGAGTTTACACAAGAAGCATTTTAAAATAGTCCAGCCACATAGAGCACAGTGATTCGCACAAGTCTTGACACAGTAATATGCAGAATATTTACATGTTGTCGTGGTAAAATAGTGCAGATAATCATACTCAGGCATGACCAATAAATAAAAAATCCACAGTTTTACAATGCATAGCCACATAGACACAAAAAAAAGTTATTGTTACTAAACACTTACATCATTATAAAGAGAATATGGATCACATTACCTTTATGTTTATCTTGCATGCTTCAAGTCAGGATCTGTTGGTTGCAGAAAATTCCCTCAAAAGATATATCCATTGCACGTTATTCTCAGTGCTGCTTTGCATACATGCAATATCCAATCGTATTTTCTTACAGGCCTACAAAGAACAGCTAGACGTCCAGTTGTCTTTCCCTGGCTCTGGGCTGGCTATTGAGTTCACTTGCCATATACAGGTTTCCTTTACAGCAGAAAAAAACAACTCCACAGGAAATTTGATGACTCCTTTTACCATGTGGGATCCCCTGAAATTTTATTGCAACTTTCTCCCTTAGTCTATTCATGTTGAAGTGCTACTGTCATGTTTAAAATGGTACATACTGACTCCCTCTCTGACTTGCCTCTATAAATAACATCCTGGGAAGGTTTTATACACCTATTTCCTTAGCAAATCTGTGATGTTTACAGTATGTATATTTCTGACTGATTCCTGAGAGCTGGTTTCAGAGCAGGCTAGCTTTAAAAAAAAAAAAAATGAAAAGAAATGCTGTGGGAATTGAAGGATGGCTCAAGCATCTTGGAGAGTAAAAAAAAAATACCCAAGACAGTCCTGAAGACACAGGCCTGGAGGAATAAAAAGCAAACTCATTCAAGTGAAGGCCCCCTTTCCCTCCCCATTGCAGGTTTTATGAGTTTACACGGGGAAGCACTGAAAATTGCAGATGGGGTGGGGAGCGAAAAGAGTCACCTCAATATAATATCCTGTTAATGGGAGCCATAGCACCCTTTGTCCCTGGGATTTCCAAAGGACTCTGAGTGATCTGGTTTATCCATCATCGGCTGTTGGTCTGCATGCAGCAGACACATTCACGCCATACTTGACAGACAGACAAATGCGCTCTCCAAACACCCATTTTGTGGCTTGGCTGTCTCCATGGTATGGTTCAATAAACACCGTCAAGTTCGGTTTAATACATAAACATTTTTCTTTTAGCTGTATTTTTGGACATTATTTGGATATTTCATGCAATATTTTAAACAAATAGGTATATCAGCTGAATACTACTTAACACAGTCCGGACGCATTGCCCGCTCAGCATTATCAAGGTAATTAAGCAGTTGTCCCAGCACTGTGGCAAATGTCCTGTCCTTGTGTTGTCTGCCAGTCTACTCTTCTGTCATAGCTTCATTTATTGTACTACTTGTTACTTGTTTACATTGTACTACATAATGTAGCTTTATGTGTATAATGTTCTTAAACTGTATCTGTGTGTAATCTTTATCTCTCTTGCTAGTAAACAGGCCAAGAAAATGTTAGGGCAAGTGATCCACTGCACCTCAACATCAGAATGCTCAAAGATGAGCAAGATCGAGCGACAGGAAAATAGATGGATAGATAGAGAAAGGTAGATTGAGAAATAGATAGAGTAAATAGATAGAGATGGATAGAGATAGAGATATAGATAGAAAGATAGCTAGATAGATAGATAGATAGATAGATAGATAGAGAGTGGGGGGGAGAGAGAGAGAGAGAGAGAGAGAGAGAGAGAGAGAGAGAGAGAGAGAGTAGACAGAAAGAAAGAAAGTAAAAGATACAGATACAGACAGACAGGAAAAGCGAGAAAGAGTGAGAGTGCGAAAAAGGAAGGGATAGAGAGGTAATGAGAGAAAAATAAAGATAGATAGATAGATAGATAGATAGATAGATAGATAGATAGATAGATAGATCAAGAGAGATGGATAGTTAAATAGATAGATGGATACATGAAAGCTAGATAGAGAGATAGATAGATAGATAGATAGATAGATAGATAGATAGATAGATAGATAGATAGATAGATAGACAAGAGGGGGGGAAGGGAGCAAGGTATAAAAAAGGGAAAGAGATAATAGATAGATAGATAGATAGATAGATAGATAGATAGAAAGATAGATAGATAGATAGATAGATAGACAGACAGACAGACAGACAGACAGACAGACAGACAGTTAGATAGATAGATAGATAGATAGATAGATAGATAGATAGATAGATAGATAGATAGATAGATAGATAGATAGATCTACACATGTAATCTTCATTAGCAAATTACTTGTGATTTCTAGGGGTCTGGCTATGATCTAAATCTGTTTACTAATGTCCTATAGGGAATCTTTAGTGATCTAGTCATACTTTAATATGGACTTGTACGTGACCCATAGTGATCTGAATATAACTGAGCAGGGTTCCAATGCAATCTAAAGTGGCCTAACTATCATTTATACGACAAGGCCATGTGATCCATAATAATCTAGAAATAATTTATCAGCGATCTGTGATGTGATCTCCAATAATCTAGCAACGATCTAGATGTAATGCATATGTTCTGTAAAGGTGTAAAGCCTTTTATATGCATTTAAATACCAGCAATTACTGATATTCCTCTCATTCTGCCATAAAACTGGGAAATAAAGTCATTCATTTTATGACCTATGGGTTTCAAGGCAATATAGGCGCCTTAGAAATGCCCCATGGAGATTGCTTTAAGGCGTAAGATTGTATACACGAACACAGCTCTTACATACTTCACCAAAACATTCACATTTTAACAAATCAACATATGGATGGACTTTAAAGTGTTTCCTAGCCAGGAAACGGCCTGGGCATTGATGCCTAGCTAGGACCAACCCTTGTGTGAGAAGTGAATGGCACGTATATGTGAGAAAGTACATAGGCAGATGAGTACAATGAAATGATTGGTGCTAGCTTTCCAACAGACAGAGAATGCACTGTTTGTGTGGGGTTAGGAAGTACACAAGACATCAACTATCAAAGGAAAAAGACCACAGAAGACTTTGAGATAATACTACAGCCATAAAGTGCCTTTACCTGCTTCTGTAAAAGGGCTCAAGTCCCCTAGAGGGAATTTTCATGTGAAATTACTTTGGATTCCAGACTAATTTTAGTGGTGTTGAGACCGGTGTACTAAAAATTCTTCAGTGCAATTACAGCCTATAGGATCAATTTACTTAACAGCCCCAAGTTCCTTTTCAATTTTTCGTTTGTAAAGTCTCTTTCCTTAAAAGCTCATCCTCCGACTGTATTCTTCCCCCACACAGCTCTGGCAGGGAGAGATCATGCTGCTTTGTTTAATACAACTATCACAAGTCTGAATGGAGCCCCATGCACTTGAATTGATATTGTCCTTGTAGTTAGTATGTGCCTGAAGAATTATGAAATCCTCCACATTATCAGTGATAAGTCACAGTCAAGACTAATAACATTTAAAATCTAAAGAAAATTTCTCAATGGGCTGAGCCCAGCTAAAT